CAGCATATCTTCCTGCGTGTTTACTACATGCACGATACCTAGGCTGATTCCTAATGTCAGTACTACAGGTCCATTTTTGTTTCCTATCCATCCTGGTAACGGTTCCACATATGGTGGTGTAACTATTCGCAAAACGAGCAAAATTACACATTTCTATGCACGTCTGTTGATTTATAAATTAATTCACGTATTTCTTCAAAACTCCTTTAGATCAGAATTGAAATTTAAGCGATACTAGTTTAACACTCTTCTTCAACTCGTTCTTATCGTCGAATTGAAGTAGAAATGCAACAATCCATTCATACCGATAGAAGGTCTGTAGACTAGGCAAGAGAACGACGATGTTCTGCCAAAATCCTGGACGACACCTTCGGTGGTGGCTTTACTAAACGTGTACAGATTAGTCCATTGTCCTACGATATCGTGTATCTCGTCCTTGCTAAGTCCAGATTCCTTCTCTTCATCGGCTCGTATTATCTGTTCGATTAGCTTTACATCAGCCGGAGGTGGGTAAAATTTCTCTTCGATCACTTTGTTGTAAAGATGAGAGTACGCGGTTGAAACGTACACGAACGCCTTTAAATGATAGCATTCCGTCGCTAATTCGAGCATCTTCTGCGTTCCAATCACATTCGCCCGCAAAAGATGGGACGCTTTTGCCTCGAAGTACACCAGGGACGCGTTATGAATTATTATATCAACATTCTCGATCAAACATCGACGATCTTCAGGTGAGAGAGCCAAGTCGGTTTTCTGTAGATCACCATAAATCGGTACGATTTTTTCCACGAAGTTTGGATTCAATTGGTGCACTTTGTCGAACAGCTGAAAACGATAGAAATGTGAATGTTTCTTTATTCCAGTATTTTTCGTGTATCTATCTTATTTTACAAGGAATTATCTAAAATCTGAACTACTTTGTCGTTGGTAAAGGGAGCAGAACTAATTGTAAGTTAGCACTGAAAAATGTGGAGAGTAAATTTCTACTTTGCTTATTCATCGTCGCAGCTAAAGCATCAGTTTAGTAAAAACATCGACGAACTTGAGAATTCGAAATATCTTGAAACAAAAATCTTCCTCGCACCGTATACGTTCCTCTATACCACTCAAATTACATTATAAAACACTTTTTGTATCGTTCAAACGAACTGAAATAATTAGGTGAAATAAGAAGATTATTTTTACAGTTTCTTCGGTACGTACAACATTTCTGAAACGTTCCTTTACTCGGTCTTCCATCGACATACCCTTTTTCGGCCTGATCATAACGTAGACCTTGCCGATGTCGACACAGGTGCGCAGTATTTTCTCTAAAATAACGCTGCCCAGAAAACCGATGCACCCCGTAAGAAATATGCATTTTCCAGCGTAAAATTTTCGTATCTGGCTGTCGTCATTGTTCTTCAGATCTTCCTTCTCGTCCAGTTGACTAGTCGCGTGTATATCATTCATTGTAAAATTATTCTTCCCTTTTATCACCACTGCTTCTTTTTTCGATAATTTCTATTTCGACTTCCGTAGGCTTGAATCACACCTGGGTGTTTCGTGAGGTACCGCTATCCGACAAATGAGTAACTTCCAAAACTTTCGCTCTTTTATTATACACGGTTAGTGGTATAATGCAAAGTTGCACTCCCGATGCATATGAAATGCGTAGAAGTGCATACATGAAATATTAATGTATCGAATTCAAGCCTATCATTAAAGATGCAAGTTTTATAATTAGAATCCCACAACCTTATATCAAATGTCCATGAGCAACAGTATCGTAATCAAAGGATTTGCTTTGGCGTCATCTACGTTAAGTAATACAATGATTGTGCATAATGAACAATTATAAATATTGAGTTTAAAGGAATCAAACGTCACTGTTAGTGGTAACCTCTTGTTCAATATAATATACCTTAGCTTTTTTCTTCAATTATAAAATTTGACTATTATATTTATTCACTTGATATATTTAATTCGACAAATAATGATTATGTATGGAAATATCTTTGAAAGAGGTATCATTACTTATATGTATATAAACAGGAAAGAAACATAATTTTATGTTTAAAGAAATAAGTGTTGACAACATTATTTGTTCAATTTAACATTTCTAGCGACGATATCAGAAAGTATTTGTATAATTTAATTATGAACACGCATCGCTTAACCTTCGGTGAACTTGACATAAGGAAAAGCGGGATAATTTAAAGCAAAGAAATTTCAAGCGTGACTTGACTCTGTAGGATAATGACGCATCTAGCTAATATTCGTCGTTTCCATAACGATAGTCCGTCTGCTGTTTTAATAGATCCACAGTCTCGCTGTCTGGCGGCACTAATAGGCTCAATGTCCACTATTCATCGCGTCGGAGACGTGTGAGTACGCATAGCGTATGCAGCGAATGAACCATTCCACGTCAAATCGCATAGAATTGCGATCATAGTCACCGATTTTCTGCAAACTCGTAGGATTTGTTGGCACCCTTGAGAAACGAAACTGTGCAAAATTTTAGCTTTCTATCTCGAACGGTTACCTAAACTATTTAATGTTAAAGTTACGGAAAATTAAACACGTTCTGGGTTTGCAACTTTGTTGCTCCAAATCGCTCCCGAAAAATGCACAATGTTGCAAACGCGTTCTGGGTTTGCAACTTTGTTGCTCCAAATCGCTCCCGAAAAATGCACAATGTTGCAAACGCGTTCTGGGTTTGCAACTTTGTTGTCGCGGAAATTTGCACATTGTTGCACGACGCCCCGTTTTGCAACAATGTGCAATTTTCGCGAGCGACGTTCGGCAACAAAGTTGCAAGCGCGATCTCTCCGTTATGCAACTTTGTAGCTGCGAATCGCTCCCGAAAATTGCACCTTGTTGCAAACACGTTCTGGGTTTGCAAAAACGGTTACCTAAACTATTTAATGTTAAAGTTACGGAAAATTAAACACGTTCTGGGTTTGCAACTTTGTTGCCGCGAAAATTTGCACATTGTTGCACGACGCGCCGTTTTGCAACTTTGTGCTTTTTTCGGGAGCGACTGCCGGCAACAAAGTTGCAACTCTCCTAAATAATGATTTAGATGGTACTTGATCATTATTGGAAGTTTTAAATAGAATTATTGCATGCTTTAACCTAATAAGATAGCTTAAATTGTTAATTTCGTAATGAATTAACAATTGCATGCAGCAGGCATTTTACAGTTAACATTTATTATAAATATTTCATTCGTTTAACATTACTAGTAGCGAGTAGATAGTGAAATAAAGTTTAAATTTTACTTTGAAGTATTTTAATTGTAGAATAACTAATGTTTCTTGTTAAATAACAATTTAGATGGTTGTTTATAACTGCTGCAAGTGTCAAATAAAATTATTGTAAGCTTTACCTTAATAGAACTGCTTAACATGTTAATTTCGCACTGAATTAACCATTGAATTCGGTAGATTCGTCGGAGATTGTTTATAACTTTTATTAACAATTAGTAAAATTAATGTTTTTCTTGTATAAATTACAGGTGGACCTTCCGGAGCACCATCGGAAGCAAGGAAAGGTCTTGAACATCAGGAGAAAC